TTTGTTACTACCATCACTTATATAACTACATTGTTATATGTAGTTTTCATAATTCACACTTAATGATTAATTTCTAACGAAAATCTGGCAAAGTTTTCTCTATTTTTTGGCAAAAACCAAAAATGACACAGTGAAACTTGCCAATAAAAAGCCCCACGGGCACATTCAAATAGTCCAAGTGTAATTGTAGGCATCATCAATACATTGAAAAAAACTATATTCATCTTAATTTTAAAATTGTATCATTACTTGTCTTGACTTGAGAGTTTCACTGAAATCTATTTCCTCGGCTGAAGTTTACATCCAATCACCATTTTATGGGGACAAAACGTATAAAAATTGAATCAACAGTTAATGGTCAACAATAATATGACTAAGATTCTCTACCTATGAATTATATATATCAAGAAATGTGCTAAAGAAAATTATAAAAAGAATGTCTTAACGGTGAGAAATTCATTGTGAGAGAGTAAAACTTCATTATGAGAATTGCTTACAATACAACCAATAATTTGCTTTGCCAAAGAAACAGAAAGTAAAACTTAACGATGTTTGTAGTAAGTAAAATTTTATTACTTAAAGTTTTTGCCCAAGAAATAGAAGTGCAACAGCATCATACCTGTGGGTTAGGGCAGCAATGGAGGTGCGCACCAGAGAGAGAGAGAGAGTAGCGTTGGGGTGGAGGCTGTGGTGGGGGTGGAGGCTGCGGTGGGGGTGGAGGCTACAGTGGGGGTGGAGGCTGTGGCGACTAGCATCGCGGAAGGGGTTATGGTTGCCAGTGAGTGGCTAGGGTGAGGTCGCGAGTCATTGGCAGTGGGGGTGGAGGTTGTCGTGGTGCGATCGCACGCTCTAAGGTGCGCGGTGGCGAGGTGAGGGATGGTGTTAGGAGAGTTAAAATGAGGGTGAGACAAGGGGGAGTGTGGTGCAACTTTGGCTAACTAGGAGGGTGGTTAGTGGTGGCCGTGAAAGGGATGATCGTGAGAGGGATGGTCACGATGGTGGAGAATAAATGATGAGGAGATACAGAAATCTTGCAGATGTATCCTTTTCAAACCGAGAAAATGGGTTTTCAACGTCGATTATACCCACAAGCGACGTTGAAATCCCTTGCAGAAGGGTTTTCAACGTTGATAATGGGTATAACCGACGTTGAAAACCTACTTTCCACGTCGGGTATACTAAAACGACGTAGAATGTGTCAAAATTCAACTTTCAACATCGTTTTTTCACTAATCGACGTTGAAAGTGTATTCAACATCGGCTCAGATTTAACCGACGTTAAATGTCAACGTAGAAAGTATATTTTGTAGTAGTGCATTAAAGGAAAACAGTAATTGAAAGCATTTTAAATCTAATCTAAGTAAGTTTTAAATGCTAAAAAAACATTGTAAACTAAGTTTTAGAAGTAAAATAGAGTCAAAGTAAAAGATAATGAATAACAATGAAGAAATTGTGTTGATTCTCCAATCACAAACTTATTTTTATGATTATTATTGATTTTTATGGAATTGTCTTATAATCATAATAACATTTTTATAACAGTTCCAATCAATTACAATCCAATTGAAATCCATATTCACAACTCAATTCCTAAATCAACCAATCACTTAAACCTAGAAGTTGTATTGTGATGTAAAAGAGTCATTCAAATAACCTTATTCACAGTTTTTGTAATAGATTATAATTGGTTAGAACCATTAAGAATCAAATCTAAATCATAGAAAACAAGTTTTAATCGATGAATCAACAACAAAAATGAATTAAAACATTATGATCAATTGAAAAATGCACAAACAATAAAGGAATGAATGAAAAAGAAGATGAAACAGAAAGAATAAAGAAATAAGAGAAAATGAAACAAATATGATCAAGGAAAACTTCAATTGATAAACTTCATTCCATTATTTGTATAAGAAACTCCATGAACAAACTTGAAAGTTAAGCATCTCTACCGAAAACTAAGAACTTCAGAACTAAACTATAGAGAAAATCTTATGAATGAATTATGATTCAAACTTAACTTCTGTTTCTACACCTTTTAAGGTTTATTTATACAACAACAAAGGCATATGAAGCGTTCAAGGCTCATTCGAGACCCATAATTACAAAATAGAACTCAATACAACATTTTACAAAATTTGAAATTCGACTCATCTACTCAGCGATTTTGCAGTTAAATTAGTTACATGAGATTCTGACACAATTTGCTCAGCGGATCTAAAAGCGCTGAGTGGATTACTAATTTCTTTTATGAAGAGCTCTTTGGACTGATTCTTTTAAGTGTTCACATCCACTGAGCGGTTGCCTTGAAGTTGATTCTGCTAGCGGAATTAGAAGCACTCAACGGATTTACACTATTTCAGACTTTTATAATTTTTTTAATTTATCATTCTTGTAAAAGAAAATAAATAATTAGTAAAAATATAAAATTTAAGTAATAATTTATAGTAAGATATATTTATTTCATTTTTACAAAACTATATTAATTATTAATAATTAATTAAGAAAATATATTAAATATATATAAATTATATTAATAAAATTATTAATAAATTGTGTTTATCAACTTTCTATGATTGTTATATTAAGAACAAACATAATAAATACTTATTATATAAGTTATTTAACAACCAACATAAAAAGTTATACTTTTTATATCACTTAAAATCTATGTTGGTGATAAAATTGACATAAAAAATCTAAAATAACTATTATAAAAAAATTTCTTTACACTAGTGGTTGTCAAAATTGTCATTAATTTTATAACTTTTAACAATGACGGTAACAATGACAATTTTAAAATCATTGTTATATTTATTTTTTATTCGTTTTGTATTCCTTAATTATATGTCCTAATGTTACAATTCTACAAGTTATTTTTTACAATTTCTTTAAATTTACATACATTATTTGCAATTTTGTTTTCAAATTAAGTCATTTTAATTAACCCTTTATGATTTTGGGATAAACACTTTAGTGTTTTCCGATTAATACTTGTTTTTTCTTTTCAGTTTTATAGTTTTTATTATAAAAAAATAAACAGTAAAAAACGATAGTTAAATTATGATAATCAAGAGTATAAGTTTTAAATCCTTACAATAATAAATTAAGTATATTAAAAATGAATATTTTTCATTAAACATATAAAGTTTTTCTTACAATTGAATTTGATTTATTTTTTTAAGATATTGAATTTACATTTTCTTCAAAAACAAATCGTCATGTTGGGTGGAACTGTTCTATATCTTTAAACACATAATTGGTTATTATTATGTGTGGATGGATTATGAAATGGTCATGTTGAACACAAATTAAAGTAATAACTCCAATGAAGGTCTTAATAATACCACCGAAAAATAAAATAAAAATAATAATAATAGTATGACTATAGCATAAGAAATGGAAAATATCACTCATACAAATACAAATACATCAATAAGCTAATCTACTATCATGACGATGGAAAATCCTATATTAATTTTGTGAGTGTTAATAGAACAATTTATTTATTTTTGTATTGAATTATGAAAAATATATGAATGGTAAAATTTTAATTAAAGAATGTCCTATAAAATAATATCGAACATGTAACTTATATTTTTTTATAATATAATTAAGATTATAAAGACATGATATGATTGAAAAACATAATAAGGATATAATTGATATTTGAGGATATAATATAAATATGATTAAAATTATAATAAAATATGATATGACATTTTATTATATAATATATGATTGAAAATTTGAGAAAACGTCTAGATTTAGATAAAGTCAGAAATAAATCATATGATTCATTTCCAGAATAGACTCTTAACCGTACGTTATTTTGCTATAAGAGCATAATGTGCCGAGGTAGTATCTGTGAGGCTCATTACCAATTGAAAACTTTTCATATCTATCAAAGACCAGGACGATTAGGTAGATACGTACAAAGTCAGCAAATATCATGGAGTAAAATAATATATTATTAATAAATAATAAATTAATATAAAAAATAATAAATAATAAAAAGGTAAAAAAATTAAATATATAAATAAATATATTTAATAATTATTAAATTGAGTATATGAAAACCATAAATGATAACTTAAGTTATATAACTTTAAATTAGAGATAAATATTATAAATGTTTACCTAAGTTATAAAATTATAAAATTTTAAGAGTATTAAAACATGTTTACAGCGTGTTTTGGGTCTCAATATACGTTGAGTATCCAAATTGTTATAATCATAATGATGAGGATTATAAGTGGATACATATATGTGGAGGATTGTATATGCATGTATAACATATGTTATGCATTATGTGAAAGATACAGTATATTATCTAAAGGACAGAAATTATAGTGTTCATTTTATTGATATTTATATCTAATATTTCATATTTAAATATCTTATTTATGAAATGAGATTAACAATGTATGTTTTTTTAAAATATTTTTAAACCTTTACAACATTTGTAGGAAAAGAGATTAACTTTGAATGATGATTTGTTTATACAATAACAATGATAAAACATGTAATTATAAATTATAATTGTTAATTTAGAGTAGAAAGCAAACATGTCATGTTATTTATATATTAGAAGTATTTAATATCACAAAAAGTCTATAAAAACAGTGGCAAGAAAGACAAGTAAGCAAATATTTTTCAATCATGAGATTTTCTATTTCAATTCCAACCCATTCAATACAACTCAATCAGTTCACCAATGTGTAAGAATTCCTTAAACCTTCATATATCTTAGTTCAATTTATTCCTTCCCTTCCTATGAACAAAGAAAAACCGATTTAAGTACCTTATATAAATCGTATTTAAATAAATTCTTCCGTACTTCATTGCATAAATAAAATTTATAAATTAGTATTCACTGATACTGATGGAAAACGAAACCAATATAGTTCTAGAGACATAATAAGGCATAAACTGAGATATAACAAATATGAAATGACAGTGCAGTGTTCACTCCGGCTAAAATTGTTCCTGCAACCTAATTATAATAATTCTATAACGGCGGAGCTAGCACTTTTCTTAAACGAGAATATCTTCTCTCTAACTTCTTCCAATTTCGGCCCGCAGAGAGTCCACTCACAAGTCAAACTCATCCTCTTCAAGACTTGTGCGTTTTCTATTACAACTTTGACAAAACGAAGCTCATGCTCATCACCTCTAAATCTTCCAAAATTTACCACTTTAAGTTTACAAGCAACACAAGGAGGCACACTCATTGAAGTCAAACGATGGTCAAAGATAATTAGTTCCTGATGATCAAAGACACATAAGAAGACAAAAACTAAATAATGAAAAAACAATAAAATTTAGTGATTATTTGGTCATTGTCTACTTTCAATCAATCAACCAATCAATCAATTACTAACTAACCTGAAGAGTAAGAGTCTCAATCCATGGTGACTTTCCGAGTAATATCCACAACAATGGGCCCATAATTTTATCTCGCAGCTCCAGACGACTCAACTTTCCGAATTCAGGAAGACTGAACAAACGAGGTACTGCTAGAACAAGTACCTGAGTGACAAAAGAAAAGGAGCACAGGATTTTATACTGTAACAATCAATATACTATTCATATTAATGCCATAAACAGCAGCTAGATAAATAACAAAAATAGACGAATGAATAATAAGTTTTACTAGCTTTCAATATAACGTTATTAGGGCAAAAGATTTCAATGTATTATTAAATTTCACAGTTGTCTGACATTTCTGGCAAATAAAAGGTGAAGCAAGGAAGCATACCTGCGGCTGTTCAAACTTTAGACATTTCACTTTATTACTTAATTTTCTCAGAAACTGGTAAGCAAAATATGCATTTTGTGCTTCAGTCACCCCCGCCACACACCTGCGTGGATAAATATTAGCAGAGGCAATACTTTCTATATACAAGGGAAACCAACTGGCATCTGACATGAATCCACTATAGGAGAATTCTGCTAGGTGTAAGGCAAACAAGTTGATGACAGAAGGTGAACCATCAGCCGTGAACACATTTGTATCAGAAATTATAAGCACTTCAAGTTTAGGCATGTCCAAAGTTATCAACTTTACATTTAACCAAGTGCAATCAACTGTCTCGAACTTTCTAAGAGCTGGGAATTTTAGGATCAAATCTCGCATGTAGTTAGAAGGAGCACAGGTAAGTGTGATTCCAGACAAATTGAGGACAGTGAGGGACAAAAAATCAACATTGGTGGGAACTGTAACTCTCATATCATAATCCGTTGGCCGTCTGATAATAATCGGATAAGCCTTCATACTCAACGTCAAGTTCTCTAAGTACGGGGATTTCCAAAGGGTGGAATTTGAGGAGATACCAAATGTTTTTACTGAATGAATACAAATCTCTTTGACTTTCCGACTTATCAGCGCAGATATCCACTGATTAACATGATAAGGGTCATAATTTTCTGAAATGGAAACAGATAAACTTTGGATGCTTGAAGAATTCAGATGAAGTAGCACCCTATACACAGAGTTTAAAAAGCTGTTTTTTCTAATATAAGTGCGATACTCATATTGCTCTTTGTCGTTGAAGTGCAGCTTGGTGATGGATGTCCACATGTATTCCCATCTCTTTGATAAAACACTAGTACGAACTGCTTCTCTAGTAGAAAGTAAAGAGAGAATGTGACCAATGATGACATCAGGTAGGTTGCTGATTATGTCCTGATCTTCATTGGATTTTTGCATCTTGGAAGAGGAAGAATATAAGTTCATGCTTGTTTCAAGATCCTACACAAAAGTAAAAATAAATAAATAAATATCTGCATTATCAAGATATACACATACACACAACACAAAATCGTATAAAAGCAATTTAAGTTTGAAATGGTTGTAAAAAGTTACTGTGATATTTAAGTACACCTACTCAAACTCAATTGCAGTGTGGAATCATGGAACTGTGAAATGTTATAGGTTTCAAACACAGCTATAAGGTTGTTGCATGCAAGGCTTGCAGCTATATATTTGGGAAAAGACATATCAATAGCAACCCTAACTAATTTTCTCTTTTTATCTTATTTTTACATTATTCTTTTCTTTTATTATTATTATTGTATTCAATAGTATCACTCTTCACATCTACTATGTTCTTCTTGTATGCAACAACACATATAAGCAACACATTATACATCATAGTATGGAAGTTGAAGCAATGAGAGCTTAACAAGAGGGTCAATGTAGTTGACAGTCCCAATCTCATAAAGGAGCGGAAAACAGAAAAATAGATTCAACAGCAACTGAAATGGAAAATGAAACACAGGATAATGAAATAAAGATTGAAACGCAAATGCAGAGAGACGAGGCACAGACCTTGGGAGAGATATCGAGGGTTTTGGAACGGCAGAGGGGACCGGGACAAACTTGAAATCTTTCTTCCGCTGAACCCCAGAGAGAGAGAAATGGAAAGACTGCAAGAAATAAAGATGAAATTGTCGTTTTTCAAGATAGGGTAACGGGACTTTAATGCAGATAAAGACTCGTGAGTGTTTTACAAAATAAAATAAAGAATTATTGTAAATGTAAAATACACCTTTTAACTTTCTTTTATAAAACTATATTACCATGATTTATATATAAACAAGTATTCCAATAGTACATATTTCTATTTACTTTATTTAATTTATATTAGTGTTGGGAAAGATAAATGTCAATTAAAAAAAAACTGAGATTATAACAATAAGAATAAAAGGACATGTGTATGGAGTTTAGAAAGGGTCAAGTCTAATCCAAATAGTAAAGTTATATGCCATAGATAATAATAATTAGATGTCATAGTAACCGATAAGTACGAAAGAGTCTTCCTTTCCGGTTTCCTCTAAATGTTATTGTTTTTCCCTTCTTCAATTTCAGGTCTACGAACTTAGACCTTTCTCCTATCATGTATGGTGAGTAGTCATTGTTTAGATACCATCAGTAGTGTTTCTCTCCGATTGCTAATTATTTTTTTAAGCTTTGGGTCCTTTCGTAATAGTCTTCACTAATTTATTCTTTATGAGAGCAAACAAATAATTATAAACAATTGTACTACTATTTTATTTTTAATAGTCATAATTTCATTATTATTTTTTTACTTAGTTGTCTTGTTATTTAAAGGCTGTAATCATAAGATTAAGTATTTTGTCGTCATTAAATCTAGAAAACACTTTCCAAGCATCTACTTATCATGCATTAGCTTTTTCGAATGCTTTTTCAGACATAATTCAATTCAAGAAACTTTTTTATTTCATATGAAATTTAGGATTTATAATTTTTACAAATATATTATTCAAGAAACTTTTTTATTTCATATGAAATTTAGGATTTATAATTTTTACAAATATATTATTAAAAGTATTTAAGATCTTATTTGGATCTATTGTCAAAAATTTTTATGGATATTTTCTTTTTTCTTACTTCTTTTTATGATTTTCTTGATGATATAGAATATATCCAGTATAACTCTTTTTCTATCAAAGTCACTTGTCTTATATGATTTAGGACATAACTTTTAATCTTTTACAATGTAATGTAACTTCTAGGTAATATTTTAAAATATTTATTAAATACCATAATATCTTTAATGATAGAGAAGAGAAAAAATTGATTTTAATAACTCAAACAATTTCCATAACTTTAATACATTTATAATCTAATAATCATCACATTAGAAACTTGTACATTAAAGTTATTTTATAAATTACATGAGTCAATATTAGATTAAAATAATCTAATATTTCCCTCCAATTGTTAAACATATTAATGTATGTCATTTTACTCTTTATTTCTTTATTGAAGAACATTTTTCTAAGCTAATTAATTTTGTTATAAATCATGCATTTAACATGTTTTTATTAAAAACATATCATAATTCAATTTTTCTTAATTTATTGCATGTTGCATAGTTTTAAGTAAAAGAAATATGTATGCATACATCCATAGTGTATATTTCTTTTTTTCTTTTGTAGGAGAAAGGTATTTTGAGATTGACGAACTTTTACTACAAGAAAAACATCAAATAGTGACCGAAAATTCGGTCACTAAATCTGCAAAATCGGTTACTAATTAAAATAGTGACCAACTGGAATCGGTCACTATTTCCTTGGTCACTGATTTTAGTGACCGATTATATAATCGGTGACCTATCTCTTAATTTGATTATATTTTTTAGAAGTTTAAGTTTATTGTCATTGTCGAGATTCGAACCCGGTACCTTAGAGTTGGAGGTCGAAACTCCAACCATCGAGCTACTTAGGATCTTTTAATAATAACTTACAAATAAATTATATTTATATACAAATAAATGTATATCCAGTATAAATATATAAATATAAAATCTATAAATAAAAATATATTTATATATTTTAATATATAAAATCTACAAATAATGGTATATTAGTATAGTATAGTATATTTGTATTCTAATTTTTAATTAAATTAAAATTATGCTAATAATGTATATTAATATATGAGGGGATAATATTGATATATTTGTATATATATATATATATATATATATATATATATATATATATATTTATATATATTTATATATTTATATATATTGATATATTTATATATTTATATATTTATATATTTATATATTTATATCTATATATATATATATTTATATATATTGATATATTTATATATTTATTTATATCCTTATACATTTATATCTTTATATATTTATATATTTGAAAAAAAATATTAAATTTTAAAAATAATATTATATTTTTAAAAATAAATATTAGAAAAAGATTTAAAAATATATATAAATTATATTTACATTTACAAAATATTAAAGATATATGTTTATATCTTTACATATTTATATATATTTATATGTTTATATTTTTACATATATTTATATCTTTCCATATTTATATATTTATATATAAAGATATTAGTTTTGTATACAAATAATATTATAATATAGTATATTATACTATTAGTATAGTATACAAATAATATGTTAGTATAGTATAGTATACAAATTATTAATTTTGTAATTTATATACAATGAAAATAATATAATGGTATATTGGTATAGTATATTTGTATTCTAATTTTTAAATAAACTAAAATTACGCTAAATGTATAATAATATATGAGAGGATAATAAATTTAATCCAATTACTTTTATAAATATATAAATATAAAATCTATAAAATATTAAAAATGATATTATATTTTTAAAAACAAATATTAGAAAAAGGTTTAAAAACTAGTATTATCTTAAATTTATTAAAAGTATAATTAAATCTCTATTTTCTTAAATTTTTTTTAAACTTCTCAATTCTACATTTTTGTAAGTTCTATCATTATATTATCATCATCATCTCCTCCCATGTTCTACTTTATCTTTACAATAGTCAATATTCTTAACTAATTTATAGTTTTAATTATAATTTTTTAGTATATATTTAGAAATTAATCAATTCTAATCTATTATTTGCAAAACTAATCAATTCTAATCAATAATTTAGAAAACTAATCGATTATAATTAATTATTTGAAAAAATTATCAAATATGATCGATCATTTCGAAAATATAATCGATCAGAACCAATTATCGCTCGAGCGAGACTAGACTCGCTCAAGCGAAATACAACCGAGAGTACCAATTTTGTGCGAGGGCGTCTCGCTCGAGCGAGAAAGTTGTCGCTCAAGCGAGAACATGATTTAGATAGCGGTTACACAGAAGCCGCTCTTAAAACTCACTAAGATAGCGGTTAACAGTTGAACCGCTATTATATGGTTTGAATTATGATCGGTCAGAATGCAATTATGACCGATCATAACTATTTTAATCGATTAAATCTAGTTTCAATCGATTAAAACAATTTACTACAGACGTTTTAATCGATTAAAACTTATTTTTATCAGTTAAAATAACTTGAAAACTTATATTAACTATTTTTTTTATATTATGTTTTTAAATTTTCTATTAGAGAAAACCTTTCAGAATTCAAAATGTTAAATACTTTTAAATATTAAAATTAACTTTATCAAAAATTAGGAAAAAAAATGAATCCAAAAGCAGTTCAAAAATGTATTATAATATTGTCAATTTTGAGTTTAATTATATTGTTCATTCTCAAAGTAGAAAAATATATTGTAATTATTTTAATTTAATAAAATATAATTTAAAATTTTAATACTAAAATTAAAAGATTAAATAATGATAAATTTAATTCTTTAAATTCAGTAGTTAGAAACTAAAATTATAGTTTCTCTATTTTAAATAATTAAAAAAAAAATCAAAACTAGTATTATCTTAAATTTATTAAAAGTGTAATTAAATATCTATTTTTTTAATTTTATTTGTTTCAAACTTCTCAATTCTACATTTTTGTAAGTTCTATCATTATATTATCATCCTCTTCTCCTCCCATGTTCTACTTTATCTTTATAATAGTCAATATTCTTAACTAATTTATAGTTTTAATTATAATATTTTAGTATATATTTCAGAAATTAATCAATTCTAATCTATTATTTGCAAAACTAATCAATTCTAATCAATAATTTAGAAAACTAATCGATTATAATTAATTATTTGAAAAAATTATCAAATATGATCGATCATTTCGAAAATATAATCGATCAGAATCAATTATCGCTCGAGCGAGACTATACTCGCTCAAGCGAAATACAACCCGAGAGTACCAATTTTGTGCAGGGGGTGTTTCGCTCGAGCGAGAATGTTGTCGCTCAAGCGAGATACAGTTTAGATAGCGGTTACACAGGAACCGCTCTTAAAATCTCACTTAGATAGCGGTTAACCGTTGAACCGCTATTATATGGTTTCCATTATGATCGGTCAGAATACAATTATGACCGATCATATCTATTTTAATCGATTAAATCTAGTTTCAATCGATTAAAACGATTCTACGCAAGCGTTTTAATCGATTAAAACTTATTTTTATCGAGTTAAAATAACTTGAAAACTTATATTAACTATTTTTTTTATATTATGTTTTTAAATTTTCTATTAGAGAAAACCTTTCAGAATTCAAAATGTTAAATACTTTTAAATATTAAAATTAACTTTATCAAAAATTAGGAAAAAAAATTAATCCAAAACAGTTCAAAAATGTATTATAATATTGTCAATTTTGAGTTTAATTATATTGTTCATTCTCAAAGTAGAAAAATATATTGTAATTATTTTAATTTAATAAAATATAATTTAAAATTTTAATACTAAAATTAAAAGATTAAATAATAATAAATTTAATTCTTTAAATTCAAGTAGTTAGAAACTAAAATTATAGTTTCTCTGTTTTAAATAATTAAAAAAAATATTAAAAAAAATCAAAACTAGTATTATCTTAAATTTATTAAAAGTGTAATTAAATATCTATTTTCTTAATTTTATTTGTTTCAAACTTCTCAATTCTACATTTTTGTAAGTTCTATCATTATATTATCATCCTCATCTCCTCCCATGTTCTACTTTATCTTTACAATAGTCAATATTCTTAACTAATTTATAGTTTTAATTATAATTTTTAGTATATATTTCAGAAATTAATCAATTCTAATCTATTATTTGCAAAACTAATCAATTCTAATCAATAATTTAGAAAACTAATCGATTATAATTAATTATTTGAAAAAATTATCAAATATGATCGATCATTTCGAATATATAATCGATCAGAATCAATTATCGCTCGAGCGAGACTAGACTCGCTCAAGCGAAATACAACCCGAGAGTTCCAATTTTGTGCAGGGGGCGTTTCGCTCGAGCGAGAAAGTTCTCGCTCAAGCGAGATACAGTTTAGATAGCGGTTGCACAGGAACCGCTCTTAAAAGCTCACTTAGATAGCGGTTAACCGTTGAACCGCTATTATATGGTGTCAATTATGATCGGTCAGAATGCAATTATGACCGATCATAACTATTTTAATCGATTAAATCTCATTTCAATCGATTAAAACAGTTTCTGCACAGCGTTTTAATCGATTAAAACTTATTTTTATCAGTTAAAATAATTTTTGAAAAGTTTTAGGAGAAAGTTTTGCAGTATTTCAATCGATTGAATCGCGAACAATCGATTAAATCAACTTAGAAGATTTTTTGTAAAGTGTTGTAATTGATATAAACGTTGTCGTATCAGTTAAAACAAATCTGTTAAAGAATCAAGAACGTATTAATGGATTAAAAGAAGTTTTAACAGATTAAAACTGCACTTTTAACAGATTAAAAGAATCTTTTAACAGATTAATTAAACCAAGCAGCTTTAAAAATCTTCTATAAAAACAAGTTTGGCTTGAACTTTTTTAACATACATTGAATATATCATCTTTAAAAAATAAATAAATTTATATATATATATATATATATTTTTTTTTTGCATTTTAATTTTCAAATATTAATTTTTTTATGAAATTAATTTTAATTAAAAAAATTAAAGTGATATATATATATATATATATATATATATATATATACCAACTATTAAATTATTCAAGATATTAATATAAATTTAAAATATCAATTCAAGTAATTAAAATAATTTTAATTTTTTATAAATACATTGAAATACATTTTTATTAACATACAAGTAATATATATATATATATATATATATATATATATATATATATATATATAAGAGACTAAATTAATAATTAATTTAATTATTGATTTAGTGACCGACCAATGATCGATGGACTGATCAGTGACCGATCGATGACCGAATCAATGACCGATCGATGACCGATCAGTGACCGATCTAGTGACCGAATTAGTGACCGAATCGATGACCGATCGTGACCGAATTAGTGACCGAATCGATGACCGATTCAGTGACCGAATTAGTGACCGATCGAATCGATGACCGATTCTAGTGACTAATTTAATAATCAATTTTAATTTTTTTATTCACATGCTAAATTAAAAAATAAAATCAAATAATTATATTACTAAATTATTTAATAAGTTAGTAAACAATTTTTTTTAAATATTTATAATTTTATTAAAAATGTTATCAATTATTTTAAATCATTAAGTAAATTTATATTTAAAATATTTTAAATAAAATATTTATATAAATGAAAAATAGTTATTAGTTTAAAAATTATTTTTTTAGTGACTGAAATTTTAGTCACTAAATCAGTTACTAAATATAAAAAAAAATCAATTTCAGTCACTATTAACCATTTTTGTAGTAAATAATTACATAAATTAAATATAGATTAATTAAAAAAATAAATTAAATAATAAAGTGACTCGAAATAGTAACCGATTTTTTGTGACCGAAAATTCGGTTACTATTTCAGTTACTAGACTAAAAAATAATAATTTGGTTACTGATTCGGTCACCGATAGTAACTAAATTTTTCGATCATTGATTTCGGTTACTATTTGACATTTTTCTAGTATTTATTTTTTCTAAGCCTAAGTTTATTTGTGCAGTCAACTTGCGGGACGTTACAAATAAAATTTTTAAATCAAACAATTAACTTGTGTAGAAATCTAATTTAAATGAATTAAAGGTTGACAGAAATCAAGAATTAAATGCAAATTAAATGATGCAAAAATCCAATTTAGTTGAATTAAAGGTTGACGGATTATTTTTCTCAAACCAGTACCAGAAATTTCTTGTCACAACAATCAAATTTTGCAATTTTTTATTTAGGAAATATTTCATTTTACTGTAGTTAATTTTAGGTGTAATTTCTCTTGTTCAATCCTCTATAATAAAGATATGATAACAACACAATCACAATTTTCTACTCCGAGACTAGTTGTTTTGTCTTGTCTTTGTTTTTCTTTTTGTTCTCAATTTTTAGTTTAATTTTTACTTAGATGAGTTCAATACTATTATTGCACTTTTGCTTCTTCTTTTTTAATTTCTATTGATGTTTTCAATTTATATTATTTTGTTTACTTTATTCATTCAATGCTCATTTTAATTTCTATTATTTAATTGTTAAGAATTTTTATTTTCTTCTGGTATTACTTAATTTCCATTTTCAATTCATCTCTTTTCCGATTCTAATTACAATTCTAAATTTAGTCTTAGAGTTATCGTTTTTAGAAATTTTAAATTTAATTACTCGTACTCTTTTATTTTAAAGTAATTTTTTATTTTACACTTTATTTTAGCAATTTTTGAATTTAAGTAAAAACATTGTGTTTTAATTTTATGAATTTAGTTATTTAAATTCTATTTCAATTTAATTTTAATTAATATTATATTATATTGTAATTTGATTTTAATTTTTATTATTCTGTATCAATTTTTTTTCATCAACCCATATTTTCTGTTATTTATTATTTTTAAAGATAATAATATGTACTAACAAGTGTGTTTCTATAATTGTATCGTTATTAAATTTGACATGGATTAGTTATATACTATAATAGTTTAACAGTTTATTTATTATTTTTTATCAATATTGTGTACGATCAACACGATGTCTTCACACACTATCCAATAAGTTATTTTTTCCTTTACCTCTATAGCTTTGGGTCCTTTCGTACTAGTCTTCACTAGTTTATTCTTTATGAGAGCAAACAAGTAATTATAAACAAGTGTACGAGTAAGAACAAATATAGTTTCATTACTTTTTTGTGTGACTTATTATTGTCTTGTCATTCAAATATTTAAAGGATTTAATCATAAGATTAAGTATTTTGTCATCATTAAATGATCTGGAAAACACTTTCCTAAGCATTTGGTTCTCATGCATTAGGTATTTCTCTACTTGTGAACTATTAGCTATGGAGAGTTTTTACTCAACTCTGTTTTCATAATCAACTTTCTTGCATTCTTTAAAAAAATAGTTTGTTAACTATTAAGATCATTTTTCAAATTATCATTTTCTAAATTTAAATTTTCAAAATCAACCATCAACTCTTTAGATGTTTTAACTTTCATTTTTATAATTTGAATCTCGTTTAAAACAATTTTCAAATTCTTTTTTAGTCTTGTAACCTCTGATGGGTAATCTATAATTATGTCTACCACAAAACAAAGGTTTCTTTTCTCCTCGCACTGATAAGTCTAAAGTTTCTCAAGGGGCATCAAAACTTTCTTCTTTTCACTTTCTTCTAATGATAAATTATTCAAATTCTTGACATTCTAACCATTGTTACCTGTGGATGTCATTGTTTAGACAAACTTCCCAAAATTTTATTAATATGGTTATATAAATCATAATTTCTATTTAAGAATGTAATTCATTTAACATTATCTGAAATGTATTAAACATATCCTGATGATTTCATTTTTATTTGTGTTAAACAATTCATATTATATTTAGCTTCTTACGTTTTATCTTTGTGGAATCCTCATAGGTTATCTCAAGAATATCCCACGTTACTTTACTCCCATATAAGCACGAATTTTTCTGTATTCTTCTTGGAATAGTACACACATGATAGCATTTCTTTTTTATATCAGTAAATATCTTTGTTTTTGTCCTTCGTTCCAAAGTTTCACAAGCTTCAAATTTAAGATCTCGTTTTTTAAAATCCTCTTCTAGAAATGAAAAGTAGTTTTAATATAAATAAAAGTAAATATACCAATTACTTTTCTTAACTTGTACATTATTGAATATATAAGAAAACGTGTGACAGTTTTATTAATATTTCTTTTACTTATAATTTATGATACTTAGCAACACCAGATGAGTTTTATAGACATTAGTTTGTACTATAAACTGTTTTACAAAGGTTAACTATTAAAAAGTTATCTTGACACAATTTATAAGAAAATATTCTAAAAGTCTATAAAAATAAAAATTAATAAATTATTTAACCATTGATTTTTACATACATGTTTATATCTCTTAGAATCACTGTTGTAAGCACAAAATATTTACCAATTTTACTAATAATTAATTCTCAGAACAAAGAACTTATTAGCTTCAAAAGAATCCTTAATTTAGAAAATATAATAATGTAACCCTTTCAGAATTAATTTCATTTGTATAAAATTAAATAAATAATAGCACCAAAAAAGTAATTAAGCCATTAGTTTTGAATCTTTTGCATAACAAGAAAAGACAGCAGAACGAAAGAGAGACGAGTAAGCAAATGTTTCCAGATATGACATTTTAAATTTCAATTCCAACTCATTCAATTACATTCCAAGAAAATCCGGTTTCATCAGTGTTTAGGACTTTATTTAACAGTTCAATTTATTGTTCCATTCCTATGGATAAAGAAAAACCGATTTAATTACTTATATAAATCGTATTCAAATAAATTCTCCTATGGTTCATAAAATTTGAAGTTATATATTAAAAGTCATAAACTGAAATATAACAAGTATGAAATGATATTACAGTGTTCACTCTGAATAAAACTGTTCCTGCGACCTAATTATATAAATTCTATAACGGCAGTGCTTGCACTTTTCTTAAATGACAATATCTCCTCTTTAACTTCAATACCACTGGATCCCCAGATATTCCACTGACATGTGAAACTCACCCTCTTCAAGACTTGAGCATTTTCTATTACATGTTTGGCAAAAAGAAGCTCATACTCATCACCTTTCAATTTTCCAAAATTTAACACTTCAAGTTTAGATGCAATACAAGCAGGCACAAGGGTTGGATTCGAAAGCTGAAAACTAAGTAGCTCCTGGTGATCAAATATATATAACAAGACAATAATCAAATAATGAAAAAACAGTAAAATTTAGTGATTATTCGGTGACTGTCAGTTTCAATCAATCAATCGATTACTAACCTCAAAAGTAAGAGTCTTAATCAACGGTGCCTTTAGAAGTAAGAACCACAACAATGGGCCCATAATATTATCTACCTCCAGATGAGTCAACATTTCAAATTCAGGAAGATCGACCAAATGTACTGCTTGTGCAAGAACCTGAGTAACAAAGGAACAGGATGTGAGGATTTTATACGGCAACAATCAATATATTATTCATAACAAAAAATGACGATTAAATATTAAGTTTTACTAGCTTTCAATATAACATTAGTAGGGTAAAAATTTCAATGTATTATTAAATTTCATTGTAGTCTGACATTTCTGGCAAACAAAAGTTGAAGCAAGGAAGCATACCTGCGGCTGTTCAAACTTTAGACATTCCACTTTATTATTGAATTTTCTCAGAAACTGGTAAGCAAAAGATGCACTTTGTCCATCATTCCCCTCTCTAAATGAATAGCGTGGGTAAATTTTAGCAGAGGCAACACTTTTTACAGACAAGTGAAACGAAATGGCATCTGACATGAATCCACTGTAGGAGAAGTTCTCAAGGTGAGAGGCACACAACTTGATCACAGAACATGAACCATCATACATTAACACAGTTGTATCCTTAATTATAAGCACTTCAAGTTTAGGCATTTCTATCCTTATCAACCTTACATTTAACCAAGTGCAATCAACTGTCTCATACTTTCTAAGAGCTGGGAAGTTTAAGCTCAACTCTTGCAAGTAATTAGGAGGACCACAGGCAAGTGTGATTCCACACAACTTGAGGACAGTGAGGCACAAAAAATCAACGTTAAAGGTGGGAATTGTAGTTCTGATATCATAATCCGTTATCCGTCTGGTACAAATCGGATAAGCTGCCATTTTCAACTTCAGTTTTTCTAAGAATGGGGATTTCCAAATGGGAGAATATGAGGAGATGTCAAATTGATCGATTGAATTAATACAAATCTCTTTGACTTTCCGACTTAACATGGCAGATATCCACTGATTAAGATGATAAGGATCATAACTTTCAAAAATGGAAATAGATAAACTTTGGATACTTGAAGAATTCAGATGAACTAGGACCCTATACACAGAATTTAAAAAGCTGGTTTGTGTTTTATAACTGCCATAAACATATTCTCTATCGTTAAAGTGCAGCTTGGTGATGAATGTCCACATGTATTCCCATTTCTTTGATAAAACACTAGTACGAACTGCATCTTTAGTTGGAAGTAAAGAGAGAATGTGACCAATAATGGCATCAGGTAGGTTGCTGATTATGTCCTGATCTTCATTCAATTTTTGCATCTTGGAAGAGGAATCTGATAAGCTCATGTTTGTTTCAAGATCCTACGTAAAGTAAAAAATAACAAATAGTTGCATTGTCAAAATATCCACACACAACACCATCTAAAAACAAGCGGAAGTTTTGAAAGGTTGTAAAGATACTGTGATATTGAAGACACACTCACTCAGTCTCAATTACAGTATGGAATCATGAAAATGTGAAATGCTAATAGTTTCAGTCACAACGGTTGTTGCATGCAAGGCTTGAGACTTTTTATTTGAACAGAAACGTATGAAGAACAACCCTAATAAATTTTTCCTTTTTGTCTTATATTTATATTTATATTTTTTTAATGCACAACTCATATAAACAACTTACTGAACAACATAGTCTGAAAGTCGAAGCAACGAAAGTTGACTGTTACGCTCTCAATCTCAAGCTGCAGAGAGAAGCACAAATTCCACAAATTCAACAGCAATTGAAATGAAAATTGAGAGACACATGATGATGAAATAAAGATTGTAAGGCAAATGCATAGGGATGAGGAACAGACCTTGAGAGAGATGTTGCAGGTTTTGAAAAGGGCGGAGGAGACGAGGACAATCTCGAGAGAATCTTTTCACCGCTGAACCCCAGAGAGAGAGAGATTGGAAAACTGCAGGAAGTAAAGATGAAATGTCGTTTTGTAAGATGGGGGTAACGGGGATTTAATGCAGATAAGGTCTCGTAGGCGAGCAAATAAGAAAAAAAGGAAATCTTATTATAAATATAAAATGCATCTTTTTAACTTTTTTTTTTAATAAAATATGATGTCATGATTATATATATATAAACAAGTATTTTAATATATACTTTTTTTTTACTTTACATAAATTATTATTTTAAAAAATTAAAACATAATAACAATGTGATATACTTATCTATTTATGTAAGACTGAATTTAGTATATTTTTTGTTTGCGTGTTTTTGCATTTACTAATTACTCTCAAAGTAAAATACAAATGTTTTCTGTCTTGTAAAATTTATGCACAGGCTTGTGTAATTTAATCTGAAATTATTAGTAGGTTGAATGGGTTGAAAATTATGATGAATATAATGATAGTTATTTATTTTAAAATTCAAATTAATATTGGTTATTTGTCTTGTTTTCTTAAAGTTTTTATAAAATGAAAAATAATTTTGAATTGAATAAAAATTTAAAATATACTACTTACATTCCGTAACTTATACATTATTGATTAGATTATAAAACAGGTGACAGTTTCATTAATGTAATTTTTTTTTCTTATAATTTACTGTATTCAACTGAGTAATAGATATTCCATTGTACTAAAACAAATTTTCTCCATAAAAAATAAAAAAATATGTTAAAAACCAATAAAAATATAATATATGTAACAATTAATAAATAAAATAAGATACATTTACATAGTTAATTATAACATACATGTTTATAATTTTTTTTTAAACTATTACAAGAACATGTATGCACAAAAACATTCTCATGCCTCTCTCTCTCTCTCTCTCTCTCTCTCTCTCTATATATATATATATATATATATATATTATATTAGTTGATTACTTTTTATAACATAATGCAATATATTCAACAGAAAAAATATTTTAAAATATAACTAACATTTAATGATATAATTATTTTGAGACTGATAATACACACCATTCACTCACCGAAACTGAAATCTCAACCTTAAACAAAGAGCTATTATCTACAAACAATAAACTTTTTCTAAAATTCTATTCTCTCTCCTTGTTTAAAAATATATAATGCTTTAGTAAAAAAAAATTATTTTTAAATAATTTAAGATGGTATTAATTATTTTTTATTAATTATATTTTTCTATTTTTAATTATATTTATTAGTAAAAGAAGATGATAAGGGGATTAATGATAAAGACTAATAAATTTATTAAAAATAGTAAAAATTAATATTTATTTCGATTTATATAATCTATCATCAAATATAATATATTTTAAAATAGATGAATATTAAACATAAAATTTTATTAATATTATGTTACTAAAAGGATTGGTGAATGATTTGTTCGGTGGGTGTGGTTTTCAAACAATAGTTTTCCCTGAGTAAATTAATAAGATGAAAATTCCATAAACACAAGACTGTCATTTTATTTATTTATTTATTGAAGGAGAGTATCATCTTCTCAACGAATTCAATTTTGAATCCTCGAAAATCACGAGTGACAGGAAAAAATCGCCCTCATAAGCATTTTCCAATACATATCCAGCTAAACAAACTCATGCTCATCTCCATTTAAGTCTTTCAAGAAATACCACTTTAAGGCTACATTTAAGGCTATACAAGATACCACTTTACAGCTACATTTAAGGCTAGACTCTGACAGTTGAAACTTTAAGCATGCGGAGATTACCATGAAATTTGTTTCAGAAGAACCTAACCTAGTCGCGCTGTTTCTTTCTCACTCTCCTCTAGGTTAAACTTTTTTTATTCAATATCAGCAGCTGTATGTAGATACATTTAGGTCTAACAAAATTGTGTTTGGTACCATAGAATCACCGGAAGAGAATTATGAGTGATTCATTGGATATGGTATATGGAGAATAACCTAGTCAAAGCATTTCAAGTTGAGGAAGAACTTCAAAAGTGATTCTTTTTACTCATAACCAAGTGCAACTTACTGTCTCATATTTTCTGAGAAAAGGGAGGTTAAGGCTCACATGTAACAGTGGTTCTAAACATCTTGAGGACAGTGAGAGATGAAAGACAAACAACTCTGATAGCACAACCATTATTCAATACTAATTCTTTTATATCATACAAGCATCAAGATATCACATTATAGCTTCATAATAATATTGTAAAACTATACATTATTCTTTATATCCCAAACAGTTCTTAAAACAAACTGTTAGTTACAGATATCAAATGTGTTTAGTACTATTATAGCTGAAAAACTTAAATAGATTAAATAGTTTTGTGCAATTCATTTGAACGAACAAAAGATGATATGAATTCATTTGCAGTAACATGACTCAAAAAGTAAATCATAAAAAACTACATCAAATCTAAATACAATGAAGTAAAAACAATTAAAATAGAAGAATTAATCAAAGGATAAAAAATGTTAATGTTAAAGATAAAAAAAAAAAACAAATGCATGAAAGATTAAAGTGGTAAAAAATGTATTTGTGGGAGGCACAACATAATCAATCATTAAACTACCGGAGTTCATTCTCTATTTTCTTTCTACTAGAGATGTAAACAAATACATCAGAGATAAAAACCCTAAACCAGAGTCTTATAACTGTTAATATTTGTTGTGAAATCCTAAAGCATTGAATTGAGACAAAAATGAATAGTTTTGGCTAAATAGAACATTCATGTTTTGTTAGTTTTTACCTAAAAAAGCTGTGTGGTGAAAGACTGTGTACCTTGGTTTAGTAATTAAATGTCATCGAGCATGCAGATAGTAGATATTGATAAGAGAGGCACACTCCCTTCAACTATTAGGGCTTGTTTTATTGTGTGAATATAACAGAACAATATAGAAGAATAAGATTAAATGACATGATAAGAGAATAATAAGCATTATGTTTAAATTGTACCATAATAAAAACTAGTTAATAAATATGTTAGTGATAATGATAATAGTTTAAAGTATTGTCAATAAAAGAATGATTATATAGATAGCAGCAATAATAGCAAGAAGAAAACAACAATAACATTAAAATGGCATTGATTTAGTGCTGTAGGTATCATAAAAATTGGTATAGTATTGTAGATATCATAACAGTGAAGTGAAATGATAATAATGATAAAAGATTGATGGTATTTATCAAGATGGTGACAATGTAATGATAGTTGTTAAGATGGAAATAATGTGTTGACGGTGATAAGTGACATCAATAATGATGACAAATAACAATAAAAACAACTGACAAAATATTGACAACGACAATAGTTACAATTAACTTGAGATTTATAATAGATATAAAATACCACTAATAAGATAAGATATAGAATAAAATAAAGAAACATAATTTGTTGTACCAAATAATTTATTACAATACAATCTTCACCATCAGACATATCCAAAGTTGTATTACACATAGGTAATTCTACCAACTAACATTAGAATTTAATTTATACTTAGTTAATAAATATGCATTGTTGTAAATTTTGACTCAATAAAAGTATTGTGATATTAGTCAAACAGGTGAGTTAGTATAACTCAATAAACAATTATAAATGTTATATAAATTAAATATATTAATATTTTGGCTTAGTCGTTCAGTTCATATTAGATTCTAATATATATATATATATATATATATATATATATATATATATATATATATATATATTGATTTCCCTTTGCTAAGTTTATTCTATATTTCTTTATATAGAATGTTGATTATCTCAGCTCATTATTCACTAATCGTGCTAAAAGGTATATGATGAAACTATTGTTGTTAAGATTTTCTGATAAACACGCTTTAAAATTCATATTTACGAAAACTTGAACAAATTATCGACACTGAAAACTTGCCATGTAAATTTCGAGTTCTATAGTGATTCAAATTTGCGACTACCAATTGTTTATGCATGACCTAACAGGAATATATACATATTTGTGTAATGGCTTTTTGAAATTCCGCGGATGAACTTCTATTAGATTTTTAAGCTGATTGTAGTTATAGTATGCTGAATGAGTTCATAATCATGGTGATGATTTGTTAAATGTAAAGTCTTTTTCTTGTAAAGTTTTTGCAAATTAATAAAGCATTTTATTTTAAGGCTTTTACATTCCAGATCATTGAGTTACTTACACGAAGAAGTATAGTTTAGTTTTGCTGGAAAATCGTATTGAAGCTCTAAATAAAAAGTTACTGTTACTTAATTTAAACTGAAAATAAAATAAAATCTTCAGATGTACATTCAAAGCACACAAACAAAAGACACAAGAAACTGGAAATAACATAGTCCTCACACTCTAGCTAAAATTGCTCTCTAAGAGCTACAGAAATTCTAGAACAGAACTAACACTTCTCTTATTATATGATAATATCTTCTTTTTAACTTTCTCCAAAGTTGACTTGCGCGTCTCCCAATGTGGGTAGAAAGTCATATTCTTCAAGACTTCAGCATGTTCCATCACAAATTGGGTAAATCGCAGCTCATGTTCAACACCCTTAAATTTTCGAAACTTAATCACTTCAAGGTTAGATGTAAAACAAGGCACATTTTCAGGATCGGAATGTTCTTCGTCAAAATCAAGTAGTTCCTAACAATAAAAACAAATAATTATGTTCCACCACAAGAAACAAATAATGATAAAAACTAACTATGCTTATTATAATCAAAATAACTGAATAAAGCTAATCAGTATTCAAGACAACATTTCTTAGCAGCAATTTTCACGCCCAGATGCATTTTGTAAGTTTAATGATTATTGGGTCACATTGCTAGTTTGATCAATCAATTACTAACCTGTAACTCAAGATTCTTGAGAAATGGTGAGTTTCGAAGGAAACCCGACAAAACTTCACCATCAACTTTTCCCACTTGCAGATGATTCAACATTCCAAATGCAAGAAAATCATATTGTGCTACTGCAAGAAGCTGAGCGACAAATTTAGCATTAGCAAAGTAAATGTTTCTATACTCAGGCAAGAAGATATTGTAATCATAAAAAAGTTCCATTTTTTCAATATTCACAGAGAACACAGCGTAAAGGCATAGAAGCATACATTCGACCGATCAAACCTTAGACATTCCACATTATTACTGAATTGTTTCAGAAGCTCAACAGCAAAAGATCCGGTATGTTCCTTATTCTCCTTTACAAACTCCCATGGCTCAATCATGGCAGAAGCAATACGCGCTGTAGATAGGTCTAAGTCTAACAAAATGTTATCTGGCCTTTCTAATATATAACCACTGTAAGTGAACCTAGTCAGCCGGGGAGCACAATACTTGAATATAGCGCGCGCCTCATCAGATTTCATGGCACGGGAATGATTTAGTAAAAGCACTTCAAGTAGAGGCACTTCAAAAGTCACACTCTTTAAGTTGAACCAGACGCAATCTGAAGCCTGATGCTGTTTAAGAAGGGGGAACTTAAGGATCAAATGTTTGGACCCATCAGATCCGGGGAAATAAACATTGATTCCAGTCAACTTAAGAACAGTGAGAGATGAAAGACAAACAAGGGGAGGTACTTTGACAGCACAAGCATTCACATTCATTCGGGCACCACAAGCATTCATATCCAGCACCAATTTCTGTAAGGACTGGGATTTCCAAAGAGAATGCGTGGAAATCTCAAGATTTCTGTTTGATTCTATTGAAAGCTCTTTGACTCCTCGGTTTAAAAGAGCAGATATCCACTGATTAACATGGTAAGCATCATAATCCTTTGTAAGGGAAAGAGTGAAACCTTCAATGCATGCAATATTCAGATGGAGCAGTACTCTATACACAGAGTGTATAAAGCGAGTTCTGCTAATGTTTTGGTGATAGTACACCTTTTTATCGATAAAGTGAAGCTTAGTGACGGTTGTCCACAGGTTCTTCCATCTCTTGGATAAAACACAAGTACTAACTGCCTCTTTAGTTATAAGAAAAGAGAGAATGCGACCAATAATGAAATCGGGTAGGTTGCTGATTATATCTCGATCTTCATCAACCTTCTGCTTCTTGGAGGAGGACCCTGATGAGTCCATGTCTGTTTAGATCTCCTAAAAAGAAAAAAAGAAAAAAAAAAAGTTAATCACATTGTAAAGCTATACACACAACATCATGTAAGATCTAGAGCTAAGTATGAACATGTTAGTGAGATTAACTTACTGTAATACACAAGACACACTCACTGAGTCTCAGATTGCAGAATGTGGAAACATGCAAATGTGAAAAGTTTGAGACATAGCTATAAGGGTGTGGCTAGTGAGGTTTATAGCTATACCAAGAACAACCTAATAAATACAACCCTAATAAATTTTCTCTCCTCTTAGTTTTACCTTGTGTTTTATTTTGTTTTTTTCTTATTTTTACACTGCTTTTCAAATTAATAGATTCACGTAGGTAAGAGTAGGATGATATTTCAGATAAACTTATCCAAGAGTCTCCAATTACAGAGAGTGATGACAACTGCAAAATCTAGATCACAAATGGGATAACAGAAACACAATCCAGAAGGGAAATTCAACTGCCATTAAGATAAGAAAAATTAAAGATAAATGAAAAAAAAATTAAAACCCTAGATATCACAACTGTAACCAAGAGCAGTATTGGAGTGAAGAAGATACCATGGGAAGGTGGTCCGGGTAGATTCGTCACCGAATTGGTCAGCATAACGGTGCGGCAGAGAAGGTGCAGAGAAGGTAGAAACGCCACCGAATTGGTCAGAGTTGCGGTGCAGTAGAGAAGACGACAAACAAACCCTCGAACAGTGTGAAATGTGTGGGCACGTAGAAACCTATTGACAATTACCGAATATGGAGAATTGAAAAAAAAAAAAATCTAAGAATCTTCAGAAGAATTAGATGTAGGAATTTCATGTCTTTTTCTTTTACAATAAGAGAAAGAAAATCTTATGTAATAAAAATATATTTTATTTATTGTTTTTAAATTAAAAATATCAATGAATTAGAATCTTGAAATAAAAAAAGTATATTATAAAATATCAAGATGGTAAGATTAATATGCATATCATGATGATAAGATTTAATAAGTGTATTAATTCAATGCTTATTTTATAAGGTTTATGATGATAACATCTAATAACAGTTACATTTTATTATTTAAATTTTTATTAATTAAACTATTTCATAACTGTACCTTTAACTAATGTGTTAGGTAGGGTTAAAATAAAAAAATAAAACATGTATAAATTGAAATTTATTTGAAGTGTGAATTTTAAAAGTCTGAAACAAAAATTGTAGATTAAAATTTTAAAAAATAAAATTATAATTTAGTGTTAAAAGTAAAAAGAAAAAAAGAAGTGAATATCTGTAATTCTTGTTGTCAATTTTTCTTTTATTGAAATTATGTTACAAATTAATTATTATGTTACTAAATGGATAAATTAATTATTATATGTGACTGGACGAGGAAGGAGAAACAATATTAAAAAGAAACTTGTTCCTCCTGTTGGTAGTAAGGTAGAGCAAGTTCCACTTTAATAGTCACCAAATTGATATCATGACTTTTGTCTTATAGAGTCAAAATTTCATTTGATAATTGTACATTATAAATATTTTTAGTATTTAGATTAAATTTGCCAATTCAATTAAAGATATTTTTTAATGGAGTATCAAATTTTATTTTTAATACATAAATTAATCTATTTTAATGTTAATATAATATATATTTTATTTTATTATTATATACAGTTTAAATAGGTAATTTAGTCTCTTTATTTATTAAAATATTTTAATACGGTCCTAAAATTTTTAATTTATACATGAATATTAAAATTGATGTCTATTTTAGACTACTATTATGTATGTTTTGACTCCGTTATATTAGATGCCTAGTTAGAGTATCAATTCGATGTGGTTAGATGATTGGTTATAGTTACTTGACAGATTTGTCACGTCATATTAAAATTACAGGAAGAAAGGAATAGAGTCGCAGATATGTTTAGGGTTTGAACATTAGGATAAAAATAAATTAAAATCAATATAATTTAAGTGATTACATAACAATTAAGAACATAATTACATCAACTTTTACCACTTAACAATAAGTGATGATTGAATTGACAGTAGAAAAAGACGAAGATAATTATAATGGTGATTATGGTAATTTCACCGATAAAAATAATTTTGGTGATAATAATTATTATTTAATTACTAATATAATGATAGTTATTATATGTAATACTTATTTTATTAATATGATTTTATTTTATTTTTCACATGAAATTTTTAATTTTTATTTTTCTTCCAGAGTTTAAAAAGTATTATATTGTATAATAAGATATATTTAACTATAATAAAAATTAAGAGAATTATTCAATGCAATACTTAAGAAGAGTTTGATTTCTCTTCCTATGCAAAGTATGAGATGTTCTCATAGGTACAAATATAGTATTTTTTTCAAGCAATGGGATGAAGGATGTGGTATGTGAGAACATGATGAATGTAAGTATTCTTAGATATTTCATATGAGATACTCATAATATATATGTATCCTTATTTATTTTATTAAATTTTGGATGTTTTGGTGTGTAAATATGTAGAGCTATGAAAAATAATGTAAGATTATGATGTCAAATAGATATACAAAGTACTATATGTGGTAAATGTATAATGGAAAATTTAAATGGATACGGTGAGAAACATAAGAAATAATAATATAAACATTTATGTGAATAGAATCACTTAAACGGTTGTGTACATGATAAACTAGTTTCAATTAAGGTGATTTTAAAAACACATTTTGAATTATTCAAATATTGTAAACTCAATTTATGATATAGCATTAGGGATACCCGTATGAAATGAGAATGTATAAACCACCATAAAAGAAACTAGACCCTAAGATTATTAGTGGATATATCATTGGATATGATAAAAATTCCAAAGGATATAGGGTCTACCCTCAGTCTCATAATATTAGAATTGTGAAATTAAGAAATGCAAAGTACCTTGAAAATGATTTTATTAGTGGAAGTCATCTAATTCAACATATTCATTTTGAAAAAGATCACTAGGAAGTTCAATCTTCTTAATCAAATGATAAACTTTCCATGCCTCTATAGCTCACAAGTTTGCTAAACAACTAGTAATTTAAGTTTCACAAATTGTTAAAGATGATAATGTAGATTAAGTTGCTAACAAGGATCAATAAGTAAATGTTAAACAACCTTTTGACCAATTGGTTGAACAACCAGTTCTTCACCAAGGTAATGATAAACCATTAAGAAGATATACTAGAATAAAAAAAAATGACAATTGCTAATGATTATGAATTATATTTACAAGAATCAAGTTATAGTATTAGAACAAAAAAATGACATAGAAACATTCACACAAGTTACAAGTTATATAGAATCAAATTTTTTGTATTATACTATAAAAATGGAATGAATTCTATGATGTTTAATCATGTTTGGTATTTTGTTGAATCACCTAACGGTATAAAATCATTGGATGTAGATGAATCTCAAAAACTAAGAAAGACTCACAAGTTAATATGAAGACACATAAAACAATTTTTTAGGAAAGAGTTTACTCAAAGCAAAAGAGCAAAACTACAAGGAGCAAAACTACAAGAGGCTTTTTATCCCATTTTTAATAAATATTCTCTTCAAGTAATAATAATGATATCAATAGTTCATTTTGATTTTGAGTTATATAAAAAAAAACGTGAAAACAATATTTCTTAGTGGTGATTGAAGACAATGTTTACATGAAATAAAATAAAAGATTATTTTTTAATAATGGTGAGCATTTAGTCTAAAAGTTTAATAAATTCATATATTAATTAAAATAAGCCCCAAAACAATGATATTTAAAGTTTCATGAAGTTATATTTTTATTTAATTTTGAAAAAAATATCATGGATTAGTGTATATATTAAAAAGTTAGTGGGAGTAAATTTTGTTTATTAATTTTATACATGAATGATATTTTATTTGCAATAATTGATAAATATATATTATATAAGGTGAAAAAATTTCTCTCAAAATGTTCCATATAAAGGATATGAAAAAAACATCTTTAGTCATAGTCAACGATTCATAAAGAAAAATCTCAAGATATTTTGAATTTATCTCAAAAAGCCTATATCAACCAAATTTTAGAGATATTTAACATGAAATCTACGAAGTGCGACTCAAAAAGGATGATAGACTTATCATACTAAGTTAATGCCTAAAAATATTTTGAGTAATATTCCATCTACTTCAGTTGTTTAAAGTCTTATATATTTAAGTTTACATTAAATCTGGCATTGCATTTGTAATAGGAATTATGGGATATCAAAGTAATTAAGGTATTGACCATTATAAAGTTGTTGTAAAAAAGGTAATGAGATAACTTTTAAGTAATAAGTAATTTCATACTAAAGAGATAATTTGGAAGTGATAGACTAATATTGTGAAGATTTTGTTAACTACATTAATACTAAAAGTTCACTTGTGGTTATATTTCTGTGCAAATGGAGATGTGCCTTGAAGAAATAGAAAGTAAACTTCACGTCTCATCTTCGAATGTGAAACTAAATTTGTTTCTTATTTTGAAGCAATTTACATGATGTTAAGAGTTTTCTATTTAAACTTATAACTATGAACTCAATTACTAGGGTAGTGAAGTTATATCGTAATTACTCTATTCTAGTATTTATGCTTAAAAAAAATAAAATACTCATTTAATATATTAACACTAAGTTAATGGTTGTTGAATTTTAACTTAAAATATGCCAAAAAAAATTAAGGATAATGTAAAACAAATGAGACTAATGGTGAAATATTAAACATATTGTTTATTTATTAAGAGTTAGACTTGGATTTAATTTTATTTTTTAGTTGTTAAAAAAAGTTTTAAAAATTAATTGAATTGTGAAAAAAATTATTTGATAACTCTATTTTTAAAAACTATTTTAAATAAAAAATAATGATTATTTATTAAGAGTTAGACTTATTTGATTTAATATTATTTTTTAGTTGTTAAAAAAAGTTTAAAAATTAATTGAATGTGAAAAAAATTATTTGATAACTCTATTTTTAAAAACTATTTTAAATAAAAAATAATGATATAATTGATTACGTAACAAAAGTTAAAAAATGATTTGGATACTTTATAATAATGAAATCTGAATGATTTAATGTAATTATTGATAAAAATGTTGATAATAAAAAATAAAAAACATCTTTTACCAGTTTTAATTTTATTTTAAAATTAATTTTTTTAAAAACTAGTTTTAAAAAATAGTTATAAAGATTTTTAGTTTTTAAAAACTACAAAAATAAAATTATTTTTAAAAACATTTAAACAGACGAACTCTACTTATTTTATGCTACTCTTATTATTATTATTATTATTATTATTATTATTATTATTATTATTATTATTATTATTATTATTATTATTATTATTATTATTATTAAGTAATGATGTAGAAATATTATTGTGAAATTTAAAAATAGGAGACAAAATACCATAGTAAAAAAATATATAAAAAAACATGGTATCATACTTTTAACCCAAAATATAAGCATATCCTTTAGCAGTCATTTATATTTATTTTTTACTTTTAAAAATATGAAATAGATATTTAATGATGAAACATTATTTTCAAGTAATTCAATATTAATTTTATTTTATTGAAATTTTCTTAATAAATTTTAAAATCCTTATTCTCTCTTTATTTATTTTGATTAATTGATCTTTATTTACTTTGATTTTTGTAATTGACGTAATAAATCATTTCTAAAAAGAAATTAAATAACTTATTATACCATATAAAATTTCTTTAAATTTATTTGAATTACCTAACACTTAAATGTTTTGTTTATTTATACTAATTTAATGAAATAGAGGATTTGAAGAAAAAAATTGTAATAATATATGTTAGTTTATTTATGCTTATTTGAGTATATTTGGGATTATGGTAAAATAGTTCCACACTCTCACAAATCTATTGTAAAAAGGTAAAAAAAAAAGAGTAGTTAAGTAATAATTTGATGAATATCACATTTTCATCTCACAAGAACAATTTGATTATTATATTAAAAATATTATTATTCAATAACATCAACGATAATAAATCCCCTCAAATATTTTCAAATTCATTATTTTTACCTCCATCCAAACGATCCCATAAATCCACTCAAATCATCGTCAATTCATTCCATTAAATCCTTACCCCTCAATCCATACACAAGCTGAGACAAAGGAAAACAGCTCTCATTTGAGGTTTACTTTTTATGCAAAATACTCAGACAGGGGTCTTTGTCTGCATTAAATTTCTATTTCCCCATCTTGGAAACGACATTTCATCTTTACTTCTTGCAGTCTTCCAATTTCTCTCTCTCTAGGGTTTAGCTGGAGAGATTCTCTCAAGTTTGTCCCTCTTCTCCGCCATTTCAAAACCTTCAATATCTCTCCCATGGTCTGTTCCTCATCTCTCTGCATTTTCCTTTTGATCTTTATTTCATCATCATGTCTCTTCCAATTTTCATTTGAATTTGTTTTTCTGTTTTTCGCAACTTGAGATGGAGACCATAACTGTCAACTAATTTGACCCTCTTGTTCAACTCTCATTGCTTCAACTTTCAGACTATGTTGTATAGTATGATGTTTATATGATTTGTGTATATATATAGTAGTAGATGTGAAGAGTGATTCTATTGAATACATAACAAAAATAATGTAAAAATAAGACAAGAAGAGAAAACTTATTAGGGTTGCTCTAGATATGTTTCTGTTCAAATTAATAGCCTCAAGCCTTGCATGCAACAACAGAAAATAGCTGTGTCTGAAACATGTAGCATTTCACATTTTCATGATTCCACACTGCAAATTGAGACTGAGTGAGTGTGTCTTAAATATCACAGTAACTTATCTTTACAACCTTTCCAAACTTCGTTTGTTTTTAGATGATGTTGTGTGTATATCTTAACAATGCAGCTCTTTTTTTTTTTTTTTTTAACTTTTATGTAGGATCTTAAAACAAACATGAACTTGTCAGATTCCTCTTCCAAGATGCAAAAATCCAGTGAAGATCAGGACAGAATCAGCAATCTACCTGATATCATTATTGGTCACATTCTCTCTTTACTTTCTACTAGAGAAGCTGTTCGCACTAGTGTTTTATCGAAGAGATGGGAATACATGTGGACATTCATCACCAAGCTGCACTTCAACGATAGAGATTATAAGTATCGCAATTATATAAGAAAAAACAGCTTTTTGAACTCTGTGTATAGGGTGCTACTTCATCTGAATTCTTCAAGCATCCAAAGTTTATCTATTTCCATTTCAGAAAGTTATGATTTTTATCATCTTAAACAGTGGATGTCTGTGATGATAGGTCGGAAAGTCAAAGAGATTCGTATTAATTCAGGCCCACAATTTGAGATCTCCTCACATTCTCCCATTTGGAAATCCCGGTCCTTAGAGAAATTGGTGTTGAGAATGTATGCTTTTCCGGTTCGTCACAGACGGATGGAGGATTATGATATCAGAGCTACAATTCCCACTTTGAATGTTGATTTTTTGTCCCTCACTGTCCTAAGGTTGTATGGAATACCAATTACCTGTGTTCCTCCTAACTCCGTCCAAGAGTTGAGGCTAAACTTTCCATCTCTTAGAAAGTATAAGACAGTTAATTGCACTTGGATAAATGTAAAAAGGATAAGTATAGAAATGCCTAAACTTGAAGTGCTTATAATCGAGGATACAAATGTGATAATGAGTGATAGTTCACAGTGTGTAATCAACTTGTGTGCCTCACACCTTGTAGAATTCTCCTATAGTGGGCAAATGTCAGATACCATGTCGGTTGCCTTGACTATAAAAAGTGTTGCCTCTGCTAATATTTATCCACGCTATATCTTGAATGGGTTTCCAAATGCACTTTTTGCTTACCAGTTTCTGAGCACATTCAATGATAAAGTGGAACGTCTAAGGTTTGAACACCCGCAGGTATGCTTCCTTGCTGCACCTTTTGTGTCCAGGACTGTCAGACAACAATGAAATTTAATAATATAGCATCAACTTCCTTGTTTGAGAATGCTGAAAATTTTTGCCCTACTAATGTTATATTGAAAGCTAGTAAAAGTCTAGTTTTGTTATTTATCTAGCTGCTATTTATGGCATTATATGAATAGTATATTGAGTGTTACAGTATCAAACCCTCCCATCCTGTTCCTTTGTTACTCAGGTTCTTGCACCAGCAGTAAATTCTATGGTCGGTCTTCCTGAATTTGAAATGTTGACTGATCTGGAGGTAGTAGATAAAATTACGGGTTCATTGTTGTGGTTCTTACTCCTAAAGGCACCATTTATTGAGACTCTTACTTTGAAGGTTAGTGGTTGATTGATTGATTGAAGCTCACAGTGACCAAATAATCACTAAATTTATCGTTTTTTCATTATTTGATTCTTGTCTTGTTATATATATTTGATCATCAGGAGCTACTTAGTTTTGAGCATCCTTCCACTCCAAACCTTGTTCCTCCCTGTGTTGCATCTAAACTTGAAGTGGTAAATTTTGGAAGATTTCAAGGTAATGAGCATGAGCTTCGCTTTGCCAAACTTGTATTTGAAAACGCTCAAGTCTTGAAGAGGGTGAATTTCACATGTCCCTGGCCATCCTATGGTAAAAAACTTAAAGAGAAGATATTGGCATTTGAGAGAAGTGCTAGTGCCGTTATAGAATTTATTTAGAGTTATTAGGTCGCAGGAACAGTTTTATTCAGAGTGAACATTGCAATTTCATTTCGTACTTGAATTTATTTATAGTTATTAGGTTGCAGGAACAGTTTTATTCAGAGTGAACATTGCAATTTCATTTCGTACTTGTTATATCTCAGTTTATGTGTCTTAGACATGTTTCTAAAAGCATTGACTTTTAATTTGTAGCTTCAAATTGATTTCGTTTTTGCATTAGTAACATTGATTTCGTACTTGATTGATTTCGTTTTTACATTGGTAACATTGACTCTTAATTTATAGCTTCAAATTTTATTTATATACTGAAGCACAGAAGAATTTATTTCAATACGATTTATATAAGTCATTGAATCAGTTTTTCTTTACTCATAGGAATTGAATGAAAAAAATTGAACGAATGAGGCTTTAATGAAGTCCTACACATTGATAAACTGATTCAGCTCGATCTTCTTGAAACGTAATTTAACGAATTGGAATTGAAATGTAAAATGCCATGACACTGTCTTTTGTCTTTTCTTTTGCAAAAGATTAATAAATCACTTTTTTACTACTATTGATTTTTTATTTAATACAATTAAAAGATTTAATCAATTTCTTCTATTTTTAATTAATCTCATTAGCAGTCAAAAGAGAAAAAATTACCAGTTGTTAAAAACCGTCACAAAATATATTCTAATTTTCATTTAACATTTTCCTGCAATTTCAAAATGTTACAAACTTCACACTTATTTTATGATTATTTATTATATTTTAATAATTAAAAATTGCCACAAAATATATAATGTCCTATATTCATTTAAAACTTTTTAGATATATAAAAAACAGCAAAAAATGATTGAATTACTATTTTTTAATTATTTTATTAATGAATCAAAATTTTAACTATTATTTATAAATTATTTTTTTAATAATTTTATAATTAATACTTAAATTACCTATCATTTTAAATTACTTTAAAAAATATGATAATTGTAATAATAATTATATCATCATAGTAAAATTAATAATTATTTAAAGTTAACCTATTTATTAAAAATAAAACTTTATAATACATATACTCTATTTTTCATCTATTTTACTGACATATAAACTATAAATTTGTTTTGCTCTCAACGTGACAAAAATTTTACATATTAGCTATAATATATTTTGTAACTATTTTATAGCTAATATCTTGCTAATACATTTTGCTACAGATTAGTTATAAAATATTTCATCGCTAAATCAAGTAGTTAATTAGATAGAGATGTATTCTCTCTCAAATTTGTAACAAATTTTGTCGCTAATCTGGTGCTAAGTCCCTAACTAATTCAAGTGATGAAATTTTGTATTTCTCTAGCTAATTGATCTCCTAAATTTTAAGTTAACTTGTAGTTAATCTGTAGCTAATTCCTCATAATTTTTCTCTTGCTAATCTGTAGCTAATCCCTCGCAATTTTTTATCGCTAATCTATAGCTAATCTCTCACAATTTTTCTATCACTAATCTTTAGCTAATCCCTGACAGTTTATCTCTAGCTGATCTGGAGTTAATTCCTTGCAATTGTTTCCTTGCTAATATGTGGCTAATACTTCGCAATGTTTCTCTTGCTATTTCGTAGCTAATCCATTACAATTATTTGTCGCTACTATATATCAAAATTATTCTCTCGCTAATCCGTAGCTAATCTCTCACAATTTTATTTGCAAGTAATTTGCTAATTATTATTATTATTGGCGTAGTAGATATTCCCGCTTATCAATTTTCAATATAAAAGTATTGTTTAAATATAATAAAAATGATGTTTCAAACAATTAAAATATAACAAAAATAATATTTCAACTAAAATATTTTGTCTCAACTAAAAAGTTTTATATTAACACAATAAAAAATAGAAACAATTTTGATTCTTTAAAGTACATTTTCATCCTTGTTTCTTTAAAGCAAATAATAAATTTTTCTTAAAAAAATTCATTTCTTCTTGCATTTGTTATTGCATGAGTGTCTGCATTTCTGTTTGTATCGTTACTTGTGTTTGCATCAATGCTTGCATATCAGTTTGTGCCTGCAACTGTGTTTTCATCTACTTTTGGATTTAATCTAACATAAGCAGCATCCATAACCATATCAACATATGGACTTCTATTATCCTCATTAAGTTCTTCAAAGATAGAAGTTGATACATTATCGATCCATCTTTCCTCACCATGAAGGATCCAATTTGTGTAACCATCCATAAATTCATGGTGATACAAATGCTTTTCCACATTAAATGATACATCCTAATAACAATTCCTAAATTTTCCACATGGGCAAGGAATCCGCCCTGCTATATTAGCAAAATTTGGGTCTCTTGTTGTTATTTGAATAAAACCATCAACACAATTTATGAATTCTTCAGTTATAATGCCGAATTGATTATTTCTATGTAACATCCATCTTCGATCTGGTCTCATTACTCTTGCAGCTGGTTTAACAAAACTAAAAAAGTTATGTTTTCAAGAAAATAAATTATTATTAAGTTTAACAACAACACATGTTACAAACTTAAATTCTAATGTTCTTTAGAATAAATTCTAATGTTAGATTATGTTTAATTCATCAACATGTTCACATTTTCAACCTGTATTTATCAAGCTTTTGTTATGGTCATGATGTGAAATATTGTAAACCTAAGCAAGTGAATCCATGTGTAAGAAAAACTCAATAAAACCTTAATCAAATTAACTACCTTTAAGAAAATAAAAATTAAGAAGATATTGTAGAAGATAGATATTGTCCAAGTTAAGAAGCCAAGTTGAGTTAATATTATGGACTACATCTCAAGACCTGATCTTCGAAAAAACAAAAACATGAATAGAATTACATTAAATAATTATAATCATGATTTTTATTGTAATAGATAAAAATATTTTATTTTATTTAAGATAACAATCCCATCTCCTACTAGATAGGTAAACCATACACTTAATTGCACCCATATACTGGTACTATACTTTCTTTGGTTGCCATGAAATATCAGGACTATTTGCAAGCTCAAGCTAACTAAAATCAGAGCTTTGAGTTCCAATATATTCCAAACAACTGAAAATATACACATTTAATGACCATCAATTTGCAGTCAAGGAAATCAAGGAGGTCCGGTTAATATTAATTACTGATGAAACCATATACAATCATAATCATAATGGAACCATGTACAACTATCATTCAATTACAAATTATCTTGACATAACTCATTCCAATCACGATTTCTATTTAGATATTTATTTTTTTAAGATATTGAAACATGAATTCATAGTATTTTCAAACTACAGAATCGACATTAATTTCAATAATTTACAAAAAGATGTTACAAAAGAGTCTTAAATAGTATGTTGCTGAATCTCTTTAAAGGAGTTACTATTTTAACTGTCTTTTGTACACTGGACCCAGAACAAGTAAATCTTAGCATGGTAAAGGAAACTTTTTCTATAAAAGTATACAAAAATAGAGCATTGATTAACCGGAGCTAATTAGTACAATTAGTACAACCATCAATTAGTGGACAGATGGTACAAGGTCTATGAAAGCATATTGCAATTAACTTCAAACAAAGTGCGCAGAGAAAGAGACATCCACATGGATCATGTTAGGACATATACGTAGGTGGCAGCTAAAAGCCTTCAGAATTTTGCTCAAAACTTAGGTCCCAAGAATTAATTTCAAAGATATGAAAAACCTCACTAGTCATAAAGTAATTAACCTGCATTATTATTATCGAGTTGGTCAGTTCTCTTCCTTTCCCTCTTGACAACTTCTCAATACAAATCAACTAAAATACATTTGTGATCACCTCAAGATTCTGCAAAAAGACAATCTGATGTAGACATAAATAAACAATGTATATAGTAACTAGTGAGTAAGTGTCCTAAGATTAAAGCTATCAAGCATTTCTGGAATGATTGAAAACAAAATATGAAGGGCAGTGAAGAATAGCATAATTTTGTTATAGGATATGCTGTAATGTTATATGGGAATTATATATGCATGTTGAACATAGATCCTTTATTAAGTTTATTAGTAAGCATTAGAACTAGCTTCAAATAATTGAGATGTTGTGGCACTTGCATGTCATAAGATGAGTTGAGGTTGCAGTTATTGTTAATAAATAGAGTGTGTGGTTGGTTGTTACCTTGCTTTGTGAATAATCTATAAATAAAATGAATTGGTTCTCTTGTGTTGTCGTGTTGTGTTGTTAGTCAATGACCTTAAAAGAGAGATGGCTTCTTTCTGCCTACTATGGAGTGTAGCAAAAAGATGGATTAGCTTCTTTGTTCTTTTGTCCACAACCAGGTATCTAAAAATAAATAAATAATAGATCTTGTTCCTCTAATTTCCCTAGGCACAAAAAATAGACTTCTTCGTTTGTTTCAAGAAACAAAAGAACATGCATTGATCCATGAATAGGAAAAAACAATTAGAGAAAAGATGATGCACATACACAATGTTGCAGGAGGAATCGAAGGGACTGTGACCTGAACAACAATGGCGTTGGAGTTAAGAGATAGGAACTGTGTTGATATTGTTAGGGTTTTGTGTATATGTATTTTTGATATATCATGTGTGTATATTTCTATTCATGTACTCTATGAATACATAGAGTAAAAATATTACAAAATATTAAATATTCATAATATCTCAATCATAATTGCCTAAAGCAAAATAATAACCTAATAACTTTTACCTTCTCTCTTAAAAGATAATAAAATCTCTTAATACCTAATTTAAATAAAAGATAATAAAGTAATATTCCCAACATTCCTCCTTACTTTAATATCTATTTATTTAAATTTAATATTTTTTCTTTTATTTTGTTTATAATTTTTCCTCTTTTTTTGTTTGTACTTCTTGTCATCTTCCTTTTTGTATGAGATCACATCTTCGTTCAACTTCATTTTATTCATCAAAGTATTTCTTCCTTTATCAACTTTATCTCCTTTGTTTCTTTCAAACTTCATGGTAGTACGGTTGAC